CCACCCCCCGCCCCTGCCCAGGAATTGATCCAGAGGAGCATTCCCTAGGAAAACTGAAGCAGAGTGCAGCCTGGAAGAGCCCAGTTCCCCTTCCTGGGCAGCTTGCCAGGTTGGCAAGTGATCCTAGGAGCTCCAGCCATTCAGTGCCCTGCCCTCTCTGGTCTTCTGGTGCCCAAAGAAGGACAGGGTGGACTCAAAGAGGCAGAAGGAGAACTGTCCAGCTTCCTTCCCAGGAAGAGCAGTGACCAGCTAGAGCTAAAGACAAGGGTACCTGAGTCACTAGAGATGAGAGTCACTCCTGAGACCCCTCGGATTTGGGCTCGTGCCCCTCTCTGGGTCTCATATCTTCTTCAGATGTCCAGCCAGTCTGACTTGCTACCTCCACAGCCTCCCCAGAGGATTGAAGGCTGGACTTGGGTAGTTTCTCCAACAGAAGAAAGTTGTCAGGAGAACCCTCCTCTAGGCTCTCCGTCTGTGAGGGTAGGGCTGGGGAATGGCACACCTTGGGCTAGTGTCTGAATGGGGCACCCAGGCTGGGGCATTCAGATTGGACCCAAAGACAAATGGAGGGTTTAAAGCCTGACGTTGCAGCTTTGGTCAAACCAACCGGGGCTCCAAGCAAAACTTTGAGGGGATGCTCCAAGGGGACCCTTCCTTACTAAATCCTGCTTCCTTAGGACTTTTCACCCCCACCCTCCTCTTCACCTCACTGCCCCAGCCTGAAATCTGACCCCAGCACACCCCACCTATAACAAGCTCCCTACCTCTACAATCCACCCTAGGTCTTCCCTGCTTTCCCACACAGTTCCCTTTGCCTGGGATGCTGACTCCATAACCCTGACATTCTCCTCATCCTTAGATGCCACCTCCTTCCAGAAGCCTTCCCAGCTCCCTTGGGTTCCCCATACCCTATTCACATTCCTCCTGGAGCCAGAGCCACGGACTCTCAGGCCTTAAGGGATCTGAAAAGTCACTTTAGCCCCAGCTTCCAGCCTCAGCTTGCACACTTCCTGTGATGGTGAGGGCATTAGCTTCCCCAGGCAGCTCTGCCCATCTTGGGCAGCCCCAATTGTTGGAAAGTCCTTCCCTTTTTCTGTGTTTTGGACGCAGGCCATAAAGAACCTCTTGGTCCCCTCTCCCTCAGCTGACCCTGCCAGAGATCTGAAGGCAGCATCCATATCCTAGTTGGTGTTTTGTTTTTCTTTCCCTCAAGTTCACCATTCCCTCCCCTTCAGATCCTTCTCAGGGGCCCTAAATTGTAGCTCCTGCCCCTGACTTGTTCAGTCTGACCTCTGTCTTCCCCTGTAGTACAGGATGCAAACTGAACCTGTTGCTGATTGCGGTCTGAGCAGTGCCAAGTACTAGCCCATCCCCTCCCTCTTTCTACATATTCTACCTCTGTTAATGCAGCCATAGATCACAGAAGTGATCCTCTGGCACTTCCTGCCGAGGAAGGCCTCAAGTAAAGGAACTTTTTTATTTCATTTCTTCATTTGTTCTGACCCTTGTTCTAGCTTGTGAGGATCTGATGGTTTGTGAGTCTGTTGCCCCCTGCAACCTCATACCCATTGAGCCCAGAGCCCTGTAGCACCTTTCTTAGAAATGTCCTCCAGATGAACTCAGACCCTTAATCAGTTCTCACTGGACATTGAATAAATGACAAGGATGTAGGATGCCAGCACCCCTACCTCCCTGCCCGCAATACAGACACACACTCCTGACCAAAAGGAACTAGGAAGTAGGCTGGCACGCCATCTTCCTAGTGTCCTGGGCGAGCCAGAGTGAATATCATACATGTATGTAAAGTGGGTATCTGGATATTTGTTGAATGATTAGGGCCCCAACTCCCTTGGGAATCCACCAACCCTCTCTGAGTGGCAGTCACAGCTCTGAAAGGAGGGCTGGGTTGGAACTGGGGACTTGGGAGGTTTTTGCATGGAACTGGCAGCTAGAGCCATGGGGCAATTACGAGCCTGAAGGTTCAAACGTCCTCGGGATCAACACAGCCAGACATCATGTGGGCATCCTGCCTGCCACCTGCCCAACACTAGGCTCTGCCTCTTTCTCCTGAACCTCCTCCTTTGAAACTCCCTGCTCAGAACCCCTGTTCCCAAAGGCTCCTCAAGCCAGAAACTGGGAGACGAGACATCTACGCTTCCTCCTCCTCTCACATCCAACTAGCATTGGATTTGTCCTGGTGTTTTCAGTTCATCTTTCAATGGTTCTCCACCCTGGTCCAGCACCAGCATCCCTTGGCAGGATTTGAAAAAAGCAACTTTCAGGATCCTACCCCAGAGAGTTCAGATCAGAATTTATGGGGGTGGGGCTGGTGAGGCCACTCAGGGTTGAGAGCTGTTGGTCTGGTCTCACTCCTTCTGACAGGCTGGCTGTCTCAGCTCCAGCCTCACCACTTCCAGCCTGAGCAACCAGGAATAAACACCGGGCGGGGTGGGAGGGGTACTGCCCCCATCACACACGAGAAGACACCGCTGGAACCACTGGCAGGAAGCCCTAAGCTTCCCCTAGTGGAGGCCAGGCAGCCCTGGTGGTCTCACCTGGCAGAGGCTCCAGGATTCCAGGAAACAAGCCTTTGATTCCTCCAAGAGGCGCCTGCAGGCCAGTCCCCAGGGATGGCGGCAGGCCAGCCGGCAGGGTTGATTCATTCCTACTGAGTAGGAGTTGCTGTTGTCTGCCTCAAGGCTATTTTTTCCCCTTCTTCCTTTTAATGACTAATCAAAGTCAGTATCACTACAGGAGAGAGGTCCAGAGCCCAGTTCCCTGTGTGAGAGGCCAAGCTGAGCCTCCAGGAAAGAGGGCTCTCCAGTCTCATCCTTGGCCCTCTCCCCATCCTGTGTAATCCCTTCTCCATCAGATCCCTTCTCTTAACAGGGCCTCAGAGGGGCTCAGGCAGCTTCAGGCCATGGACAGGGGCTGGGCTCTGCCCTTAGATACCGTGTGACCTTGGAGAAACCCCTGGCCCTTTCTGGACCTGTTTTCCAATTTGTAAGATTCAGGTTGGACTAGATCAGTGGTTCTCAACCTTCCTAATGTCGCGACCTTTTAATACAGTATTTCGGTCAAGGACATGTACCTTGGTTGCGGGCATATCCCAAGTAGGGGGTGTGCAGGAGGCAGCTGATCGATGTTTCTAAATCTCTATCCCTCTCCCTTCCTCTCTGTAAAAAATCAATAATAATAATAATAAAAACAATATGTAATTATATATGTGTTTTCTGATGGTCTTAGGCGACCTCTTGTGAAAGGGTCGTTCAACCCCCAAAGGGGTCGCGACCCACAGGTTGAGAACCGCTGGACTAGCTAGTCCCTAAAGAACATCTCAGCTGCAACCCAGATGAAAATGTGCTCAAATACATTGTTTCTTTTGGGAACCCCAAGGAGGTAATTGGAGAGAGGGA